AGATGTCTGGATTTGTAATCTTCCCCTAGCTACCTTTTCCCTCATTTCTACAACTTCTCTTTGCCCAGAATGCTCTTTATCTGTTAGTTTAGTAGCTATTTTGATGGGTACACATCACGAAATTTCTTTTTTGCCAAAAATATCAACTATGAAATGACGAGCGATTATTTCTTTCTTTCTCATCATCCTGATAGCAGAGTTTGGACACTTGATTCTTCTAGTATGTACACTTCCAGGACTCTTTTTACTCATTATCCATAACCCTAATTACCATATGAGGTTTCTACTAGGCTTTTCAGAGAGCTAAAGTTCTGTCAATGCTTAAGGTTTCTTTCCAAAACTAAATAGGCTCAACAAAAACGATCTATTACAAGTTCACAAACCTGATCAAGCTCCTTTTCCATATGTATGTGTCATGTGCTTGAGGGAGGCTGAATCTCATTCCCCATGTCTGTATTATGAGGTGGCTTGGAAACTACTTTTCTTTAAAGAAGAAAAACTACTAAAAAAGCACCAAGAGAACGCAACCATATTCGTAGGAACTTCCAAATCAATCAACACATCAATGAGGTTCCCGAAGTCCTGGATGCTATAAAGTGATTGGCCCTTATCAAAAAACCCAAAGCCCAGTAACAACCATTCACCATAGTCCTTTCTCTCCTCATCAACTCATCTATAGTCAGAATGCATTCCCTTCCAGCCTCCCACGCAAAGAAAGCCACTCTAAGAGGGACTTTCATCTTTATTTCAGAAAAAAAGAGGGATTTTAATCTTCCAAATTTGTCTAAAAGAAAAATTCAATCCATGACTTTCCTACTTAGTCAAGAACTTGTAGTAGGATCTGACCGAAAACACTCATGTAGAAGTAAGATTCCAGAAAGGTTGATTATTGCTTCCAAGGAGACCACATAGCAAGGAGATTTTCATATTCAGAAATCTCCCAATCATTTAGATTTCTCATCACATTTACCTGCCATTCGAAAACCCCCCTCCACTATCTTTGGACAAGTCACTAATCAAAATAATGAGAGACAGCGTAGCAAGGAGATTTTCATACTCAGAACTCCCCCAATCATTTAGGTTTCTCATCACATTTACCTGCCAGTCCAAAACCCCACCATCCCCATCTCTGAACAAGTCATTGATCAAAATATCTTTTTGTTGAGATATATTGAATATCTAGGAAAACTGTTCTCTGAGAGTACCACAATCCAACCAAATATTGTGTTAAAAGTGGACTCTGTCACCCTTGCCTACCCTCCATTTAATACAGTTCTGGAATCTCTCTCTTCCACTAGGCCGAGTTCTTAAAATCTACTAATTGGACTTCTGTGCAGGTATCATCTTCTCACCCATTTCAGTCAATTTGTTTGAGCAATTGTAGCTTTCCCTGAAGATATTGATATGGAAACTATTGCGTAGAGATTTTTTATGTATTTGGTTTTATGTGGGTTCTTCCCCTTCCCTAAATGCTCCCATTCCATGCTCGTCAAGGGAGGTGGACTTAAGAAGGAAGCTTCTTTCCATGTTCTTTAAGAGATGTCGACTAAAGAAGGAACCGAGGAGCTCTTTGTGCTCGTTTCTGGTGTTGTGGTTAGAACATAATATAGGTTCTTCAAGGATCATTGCTACCTTCCTTCTTTACTTTGTGACAGATTGGTTCTCTTTACTTCTTTATGGGCAAAGGGCACGCATTCTTTAGAGATATTTCCTTGGATGCTCTACCATGGGACAGAGAAGTTATATTGCTTTGATTTTTGTGTTCTTTTCACTGATGTTTTAGGAGGATTCCTTGTGATCTGTTGTATCCTTTTTTCCTCTTTCTATTAATAATTTTTTTTTCCTTAAGAACACAAAGTAACCTAATATATTTGCTATTTCCAGTGTCATACAGTCCAAACACCTTACACCTTACACCTTACTATTTTTGTTAGTTCATTTTATTCCTAGTCTTTTTTTTTTAAATACATTGTATTTCTAGTCTTATTCTTCAGTTATTTACCACTTATATACCGAATATAACCAACATATTACAGATTACTGAGGTCCAAATAATTAAAAGAAAAAGATGGGAAGAGGACTTCAAGGATATAACTGTCTCACAGGTTTACATTGGAAAACATGATTTTTAGATGGAGCACGGAATATTTGACTGATCAATAAAGCACCCAAAAGAAACAGCTTATTAGAATACTTGCTAAAAGAGTTGAAGGATATTCAGTACTTAAAAAATGGAATAATTTAGTTAAAAAGCAGAATCACCTTGCTATTAGTGCAAAGGTCCCTCCTCTTCCATCAATATAAACAGCCTCACTTATGTAAGGTTCTGAACTGAAACGGGAGTCCTGCTGCTTTAGAAATTTGTCCCCGAGCATTCGAGCAAGGTTCAAACCTATAGGGGTTAAAAAAAACGTGAATATAAACATTCAACTTTTGTAAGCTGCAACAAATGGATTTAGTAGTTTAGCAGTTACCACAAAGCCGAGTTTCCCCATCTTTCAACGGTTCTCCAGTTTCTTGGATTCGCAATCTTTCAGAAGAGCTAGTTATTCTATGATCTTCTGTCAACTTAATCTGCTTCCCATCAATGCTGCCACAATAAATCATGTTCAATCAGAGGGACAATGTTAATCTCCAGGAAACCATAAGTACCATACAGATATTGGAACTGCAAAATAGGCTTAATCAATATGCATCTATATATCATCAACCAAAGAATTAAGAGAAAACAAATACCATCAGACTTTCAAGTGAAAATGCTTAATGTAAATGTCGTTTAAGTAACTGATTTATTGTATCACCTTCCAGTATCAATATTAAGAAATCAATTACAAACAGCTTTCATATAGCAGTTATGAACCATAAGAACTTTTATCATTTGATTTGGGGGAGGCAGGGAGCAGGGTGAGAGACTGAGAACCAAAGGTAACTTAACAAGAAACAAAATCAAGATTTGGGGAATAGACTTTATGGCACATTCTAGAAACCTTCCAAATGAAAAAACTGAAAAGAAGTACATACTTCATAACACAAGCTGAATCCCCAACATTTGCACATTGCACAAAGAAATTTTCACCATCATCAATCCACACCAAAAGCACTGTTGCAGTACAGCCCTGCAAGGAACATGTTATTACAGTACACAAAAGTGTGGTAGCATAAATTAGTAAAGATTACAGGCAGTTCATGTTAGAAACATAAGTCTACCAAAGAAGCAGGATTGTGGTATTAACATTCTAGTCGTGCAATCCCATATTCTACATTATGGTGAAGCTAAACAACACTATCAAATTGGAAGCAACAAAAATGGAGGAGATGCCCCAAGTAGATTTACAAAAATAATTATGTTCCCCACTTAAGTTTAACAAAAAATTTATTTTATCCTCTTATCTTTATTTCTGCCTCACTGCATAACAAAGCAAGCCATTACTCTGCTGAATCATCCCAGATTGTAAGAAGTTTCTTTTTTTTATTTCCAGTAAAAATAAAATAAATAGGGGAATAAGTGGCGGGCTTGTCCCACCCAGTAATGGTTGGCCAGGAAGTTTGGCTATGTTTTGCCTCTTGTGAAATTCTGCTACAGGAACCAGAATCTCTTTCTCTTTGACTGTTAGAAAAGAAAGCTAGATTCCCTAAGATGAGAGTACAGAAGAAACGAACAAGTTTTCACTCTTAAAAAATTTACCTGTGGTCATGCGTAAAGCATACAAGGAAGAAATAAATGGAAGGAATAACCAGGAAAATTGCAGTACAAGCTCAATAACATCAAGCAAAAGGATAGACTTTAGGAAAGGAGTGATGTAGAACAAGAAAATCATACAGTGGATACATTTTAATACTATGAGATATTTATGTAATTATAATGCCTACGTATTATATTATTTCAAAAAAAAATAATGACTATGTATTATTAAGGTATTTAGCTTATTTGGGAACTATTACCTATAAGCTTAATAGTGGCATGAGTTTATTATTTCATATTAATTAGGATCTTATTTAGTTATTATCTACTATAGATAATTCAATTAATTACCTTAGTTTCCCATTTAATAGAATTCCTCAATAAACTTAAGAATTCCTACTTTAATTGTCCTCTGGTATCTTGGTTATTTGATAGAGTATTCAAATGATTAATATATAAATCAAGTATTAATTTGATTATTAAGGGTTGGTGATCAGAACATGACCGCACACTTCAAGCTAATTTGGAAAGCTAAGGCACCCCCTAGAGTGGCGTTTTTTACTTGGGAGGCGGCGAGAGATAGCATTTTGACCATTGACATGTTAAAAAGGAAGGGAAACATTATGGTGAATAGATGCTACTTTTGTAAAGCTGATGAAGAATCTTGTTACCATTTATTCTTGGGCTGTCCAGTAATTAACAGTGTTTGGGCAATGGTTTTTGGGGTGCTGCGTTTGTTTTGGGTTAGAGCTGGTAATGTAAGTGGGGAACGTCGGGCTTGAGCGGGATATTGTAAAAAGAATAAGCATAAATTCTTGATACCACTTACCATTTTTTGGGCTGTGTGGAAGGAAAAAAATGCGAGGGCGTTTGAGAGCATTGAAACTAATATTCTAAATATTAAAAATAGATGATTTCATACTTTTGGATCTATCTTGTTAGGTCATGATGTGCATGATTGGAAAGACATTGGAGTAGTTATGGACCATTTAATAGATATGTAACTATTTTGTATACAGGTGGTATCCCCTTGGTACTTTTGTGAATAAAATTTCTCTCTTTTATTTCAAAAATAAAAATTAATTTGACTATTAAGATTTGAGATTTTCAATTTTTGTTAATAAATTTTCTCCAAGTATTGTGTTCAAACTCTTTTTCTTCTACATCAATAATCAAAGCATGAATTTGATTATTCATGCAACCATTATTTTCCACCCAAACATCCCAACCAACTGGAAAAAAGCAGTAGCCTCAAAGCGGGGAAAAAAACCTAAAAGCATAAATTAAGTTGCGACCTGTTTGAGGGAGTAACCACTATATGCCACGAACCATCTCCTTTTATGTAGGAAGATCTTGTCACTATCATTGATGACACAACTCAAAGGAGCAAACTAATAAATGAGGTTATTCAGAAGTTCAATACTGAACAGCCAGCTAATTAAAACAAGTCAATAGATGAGGTTATTGAGGAGATTGTGAAAGATACTGACATTTCTACTCAACAAATTGAGTCAGCTACTGATGGATCTCATGATTTAGTTGTACGAAGTATTGTTGTTGAGGTTGAAGACAATGAAAGTCTCATTGATCTAAGAAAAAAAGGGTCACCCTGAAGATATTACCCAAAAAATTTCTTTGGCTCCTAACGGTAATCATGAAAGTTTCATGCTTCTTCTCTTATGGATTTTGTCATTCCTACTTGATTCACTACTTCTCAAAATTCTTGATTTGAAAAACATCCTCATTTCTCACGACAATCTCAAGCTGCAAACTTTAGTTGTTAGGAAGACAAGTTTCATTTCTTCTAATTGAAGATTTCAAAAATTTGACTTCAGATTCTCACCAAGTACGGAATAATAATGCAGAACAATAAGATCTAAGTATTAACATACTTCAATACTAAGAGATACTTAACTAATTGTAACATTTATGTATGATTAAGGTATTTAAAGACTTAAAAGTGGTGTGAGTTTATTATCTCCGATTTAGTATGGATCCTACTTAGCTATTCTCAACTACAAGTTATTCAATTAATTATTACTTTACTTAGCAAAATTTCTAGATAAACTTAAAAATTTTAATTCTAATTATATTCTGGTACTTATAAAGAGGATATACTACCTTTGTTATTTGGTAAACTATTCATATGATTAATATAGAGTATTAATTTAATTATTAAGATCTCCATTTTTTCTTCTTAATAAATTTTCTTTAAGTATAATGTTCAATAAATTTTCTATAAGTATTGTGTTCAAGCCCCTTTTGTCCTACATTAAAGTATCTGAAGGTTATACATGAGATTTTTAAAGCCTAACCAAATGTCTATTGAGGAAGGACTTTTTAGTCAATCTTCAAAACCATTCTAGAATCAAACTCCCTAGCAAATATGGATTATACACGCATGCATACTCCATGATGGCATAAACTAAATTACTGAATTTCCATTCAATAATCATAAAAAAACACAAATATCATATACAATATCCAAATAAAGTAAAAGATACGTTCAAAGTTAAGACGGAGAAATTTTCTGATTCCCTAAATAAGGAAATGACACAACATACTTTTAGAATGAAAGGAATAGTAATATATATAAAAGCATTTAAAGGAGAGAAAAAGAATCATAAACCATACAGGTGAAGAGATGTAACAAGAGTGGGATGATAACCTGTACTGAAAAGCACTCAAGATGCATGCTAAAACATCCCAGCTACGAATCTTTGAAATTAGGAAAAGAAAGGGTGAAAGATAAAAAGAAAGAATGAAAAACATGGGAGAGGAAAACCTCATAATAATGATTCATGCGGGATTCTGTCTGTAAAAATGCATCCTTAAGAACTTCAGAAGCATCACGTTGCAACAACACCCTCTCTCTTTTCAGCGAATCCGACAAAATAGAAGCAACCACCTCAGACAGAATTCTGGATATCAAAAATTTTTAACAGTAAATACTCCAACAATCACGAGAGACAACACCAAGAGTAAAATAACAATAAACATAGATAATCAAAACACTTAATGAATTACCACCATCATCAGCATATAAGAATTTATTGCATGATATTTTGTTTCTTTTGGTAATCTGTGATCTCTTTTTAACATATTTCAACTAAATGCAATTTCCCAAAAGTTTCAGCCATCTTATACACCAAGATGAGGATAATGTAATCAACATAATCAAAAAAACTATCTTTTCCAAATCTATTCAAGCTGACTAAAAATACTGTTGAAAGCCTGCATATATCGTCACCATGAAGCCAGAAAAGCTTTTAAGATTTTGACAATATCTTGTTTATACTGTTTAACTGAAATGAAGATAACTGTGTGAAAGCAGTTGATACCAACAACTTCATAACCAGACGCACCACTAAAAACACAAACATAGTATGATTACAGACAAACTTCTAATTGTCAACGTTAACAATATCAGAAATTGTATATTTCGACAAAAAATAATATCAGAAATTGTCGGAGGTCTGGAGCAAACATTTTGCAATCATAGTGACATAGCATGTCAAAGTTAGAATGAGATACTAACATGCTCGCAGATTTGGCAGCCCCTTGACCACCATGTCCATCACAAATACCAAACAGTCCAAACTGCAGTTGAATATTTAGAAGATGTCAGTTGCTTCAGGAAAATCGATAGAAAGAACACCAGAAATCTATAGGAATACTCTCGAACCTGATCAACCCCAGGAATAGGCCATTGATAGTAGCACACATCTTCCATTGGAAGTTTCTTTGCTCCTCGGCGCAAAGCCATAGGATCTGATGCTACACCAACCCCAAAGGGGATATGGCACTCATTCGGAGCTGTAATTTGAATCTACCACCAAGGATAAAAAAAAAGAAGTTATTTTAGGCACTAGTCAATAGATAACTACATATATTCCTTTTTTTTTAAATAAATAACTAGATATATTCCATAAATGACAGAATGCATAATATTATCATGGATAGAAGCTTTGAACGAGCAATAAACATAGTAACCTGGAGACCACCAAGTACATATACTAGAAACTTGATAACCCAACTAACAAAAATATTCTCAATTTGCAGAGACAAGAAACAGAAGGACAGGCATAGGAGAAAGCACCAAAAGTAGCAAGATGCAAAGGAATTAAAAATATGAAGGATGACCCATGACATCAGAACAAATAAGAAAGACCTCTCAACATTCCAGATATAAAATCTACACGAACTCAATGATCCAGTAGAAGTAAATTACATGCCAGACCAGGATTCAGTTCCATTTATCCATTTAATACTAAGAACACCACTTGATACACCATGGTTTACTAGAAAACATGCTACTATTATTCAAATAGCAAAAAATGTGCAGTCCATAGAAATATAAAAGTACATAGACTTACGTATACATTGGAGGTGGTGCCCAAAGTTATTATGTCTCCACTTGCAAGCTCCACCGGTTTACCCCAGTGCCTGCTGCCAGAATCAGGGTGGTTAACCGGCTGAGAGTTTAATAGTGTTCCATTTAGGCTACCCATGTCTACCAGCTCCCATTTTAATCTCTGAAATCAACATTATACTATAATGTCAATGCACCACAAAGGCATCCAATCAATATCTGTACTAAATTGGAATGGTTTCTAAGATAATCACATCAGAATTCCAGTTTATCAATGCATGCTTCCCTGAGACTTCAGAATCTTTCAATAATAAATCACTTGGAGAAACCCTTCCAAGAGTAAGTGGGAGCCTGGAAGCACTTGTCGAATTGACCGAACAGTGAAGCCCGGTAGAGGGACCAGAGATGACCTCCAAGGAGAGGCAACTTCCTGCACTTCTAACAGAAAGATATATTACATGCTTCACAATTCGGGCAAATAAACGAAGACATAAAATATTATGCTCCTTGAAGATGTGAGAGAAAAAAGAAATTACGTGGGTCATTGATGATCTTAGGTGGAAGTTCTTTTAATCTATCATTTCCAGAACCAATTTTTGGGCTACGATTTTGACCATCCTGTTTATCAGTTCTCTGTCCTTCAGGGGAATGAACTTTATCTGACGTGAGCTTAAGCGTCTGGCCAAGCAAAATATCCTCTGATAGTTCAGAAATCACACCTGGAACTATGAGGATAAATGTTTAATCTTGATAAAGACTTGGTGGAAAAAAAGATAAAGATAAAAATGAAAGCGTCTCCCACAGCCTTTGGCAATTGGGCCTAGTGGCATGTCATCCTCTCCTTACATGCAAAAGGAAACTCAGCATGGTAGAACAGAAGAGAAAGAAAAAAAGGGAAGTATAAAACTACATACATGGAGTCAAATGGGGAGATGCAGAGGGAATCCTCTGTTTGTGAATAAGTCCCTCTCCTCGAGATGGGCGCAAAAGCCCTTCATTTTGATAACATGCTCCTTCCAAATCATATTCTCTTGTCAACTCATTGCTTTGTTCTTGAATCAAATTACCATCATCTGAGACTAGAGGTCTCTCCAAATCACCAGCCTGCAAGCAAATTCAACAATATGAAAGGAGGAAAGAAGATTTTCCTTTACGGCGAGGAAAGAAGAATCGAATCAATAATAGGCATACAATACGAAATTTATTAAGTTCCAATAATGTTTTGTGTGTGTGACTGGAAAATGTCCAAATCAGACATCAAGATTTTGTAGACAAATATAGATAGATATTCCACCAATAAATGTAATTGAATTTCACAATTTCAATAATATACGTAAACCATTTAGGCCTTTGTGAAGTTCAAGTTATGAACTTTATAATTTCAGTAACGTAGGTAAACTATATAGATGCTCTGTGAAGTGAAAGTTATGAATAGTAACATAGTTGTCCTACTTTAGACATAAGTTATTTTCTATTTAATAAAAATTTTTATGTTTCAAATCAACACCATACAAATTTCTTGTAAAAAAGAAATTGAGAATTCATTCCTTGTATTTAAACACAATGGACAGATAACGTATTGCCCCATTACGTGAGTGGAATGATGCAGCATTCGACTTCCACTCATTCAGAGCAATTACTCTCATGGCAGGCTCTTCCATAATGCAATGAACTAATCAAACTGCTGGATAAAATCCTCGAACACAAATCCTTCTAGTGTCAATCAACTAAAACATATAAAACTAAAAACAAATTGGAGGAAACAAAACTGTTACCTACCGGATTCCTCTGATACAAAATGACTCGATAAATGCATAAGTTTAGGCAGAAGCAGATGAATAGCTCAAATGTCAACTTAACTAATTCAAAACTTCAAGCTACTCAATAAAAAAGAACTTTGATGATACGATCGTCAAAACAGAAATAGTCATGAAAAAGAAGAAGTTCGCAGTCATCATCAAAACTAAAGTCGATCAAAACAACCCCACATCAATACCAATCCAACAAGATGTATTAAAACCGGAGAGTTGATTGAAACTCAACTGGCGATGCACCACAGAAACTAAAAATCTCGTGGCAGCTTCATTTCCCGAATACTCGAAAGAAATAAAATAAAAGGCACGATCTAAACGACAAAATCATGGTTTAAAAGATAAACCGTAATGAAATTCCTCTCAAGCTTCCCTTCCACATTCCCATCAGTTTTGTCGTCAACGCAACAGAAAAATTGGCTGCTCGAGTACCAAAAACAAAGATTGGAAATAAGATAGATGGATTAAATGAGGCGTTAGGGAGGGGCACTACCTTGATGGTTCGAGAACGAAAGCGAGGGAATAAACGCCATGGCTTGCAGACAAAGAGGACGATGAGAAGGATCAGGAGCAGCATAAGAACGATGACACCGACAATGCTTTCTAGCATCGCCATCGTCGTCGCTCTCTCTCTCTCTTTCTCTCAAATTCTCTGACCTGAGTTTACGATTTGCGAGAACCTCGCTTTGAAATGGTCGCACCAATTTTTTCCTTTTTCTTTAATATTTTTTTTTTCTTAACTCCCTCACTCTTATATACGTTTCCAAATTAAAATAAATAATAATAATAATAATTATTATTATTATACTCTATACAGTTCAATAAAAAAAAAACAATAAAATCAAACAAACAGACAAAACAAAAGCATCAGAAAAATTATTGAAAATTTTATATTTTTTAACAATTATTTATTATTTCAACTCAATTTATAGTTTAAAAAAATAAAAACATTAATTATTCAATAAAAAATACATGTAAAACCATCATACAAACGGATTAAAAAAAATCAATACATTAACGAAAATCAAAATGATTTTATACATTAAATTTTTAATAAAAAATTATATATTTTAATAATTAAGTAACATATATATATATAACAATAATAACAACAACACATGCATATTTATGGAAAAATATAAAAATATTAATTATGTAATTAATGAAAGATATATTATTTTAGAGTAGTATTAAAACTAAAATTATTATCTATGCTTCAATGTATGATATATGATGTTTCATGTGATATCATGCATAGTAAGGAAGGATATCCGATTTTGCCTAAAACTGCCCCTCCTCCAGATCCTGGGCCAATCAGCCTGAAACTTTCAGATTCTTTTTTTATTTTTTAAGCTTCTTATATATATATACATATATACTTATATTGTAGGATAACACCTAAACAAACTACCATATGAGATAAAAATAAATAAATAAATGAAGGGTACAGAAGGTCAATTCGATTTTTTAATTGTCAAAAATTTCCTTATCATATAAACATTTCATGTTGATCCGAAAAGCTATAATACCCAAAAAAAAAAAAAAAGCCTGAAAATGAATATCAATCTTATTATAATCTATTCCATCAAGTAACGAAATTAAAGAATATAGACTAATTATTTTCACAACAAAAGGAACATGAGCTAGTTCTATCTCGTTTCTCTCAAAATAATAAATCTAAGTACATTCAAACAAAGATTGATTCATATTAAACAAATTATCATATTTTCGAGTGTATTTGTGTGTGCAACTATACATAGATATAGTAAATAATTTCATTCAAGTATATGATATAAAAATGGCACGTGAAAAAAAATAAATAATAAACAAACTATCCTATTTTCGAGTGTGTTTGTGTGTGCGGGTATACATAGATATAATATTAAGTAAATAATTTCATTCAAGTATATAATACGATGACATATAAAAATGACACGTGAAAAAAAATAAATAATAAAAGAAAATTTTTTGTCATACCTGTATCATATCGAACTGTTAGAGTATTTCGCTTAAATGAAGATGGACTGTATAGTTTTTGCAGAGCTCTCTTTATTTAAATAAATTATGATAGATAGAAGAGAAAATATTTTTTTATAGAAAATGGAAAGTTATTAAGTTTCAAAAAAAATATATTCCTTTAATCTCTTTATATGGAAAGAAATATAAATGCATGTAACCTACTTGGAAAAATTATTATGACTACGTTATTTCAATTTTCAAATGTTGGATAAGATTTTTAACTATTAAGATATTCTAAATATATTAATTTTGGTAAGTGTTTGTTTGATATTTATTGTTTGGGTTTTAATTATGGCAATGTAAAAAATGATAGTATTATAACTGATTTTTTAAGACCAAGAAAAATACTACATAAGAGGTGAAAAGAAAAAAAAAAAAAAAAAAAACCATAGTGAAACTCTTTAGGTGATTCATTACTTTTTATTATCAAGATGTCATTTTAAATTTGAAGGAGAC